ACTCGGCCCGCAAGCGGGAGCAGCGGCCCCGCTGCCTCGGGTAGCGCCGGGGAGCCCTGTGAGACCCGCCTTGACCTCGCGGCCCGGCCGCCCCGGCACCCCGCCGCCATGTCGGTGGATCCCATGGCCTACGAGACGCAGTTCTTCGGGTTCACGCCCCAGACGTGCATGCTGCGCTTCTACATCGCCTTCCAGGACTACCTCTTCGAAGTGATGCTGGTGGTGGAGGGCGTGATGCTTAAGAAGCTGGACAGCATCCCCGGCTGCAAAGTCAGCCCTTCCCAGATCCGGAAATGCACCGAGAAATTCCTGGTCTTCATGAAGGAGCACTTAGATAAACTCTTCGCTAAAATGGAAGAAGTGGTGCTGCAGCTGGTGATGAACATCCCTAAGAACGTGCTGCTGCCCGAGGACAGGGTGCAGGAGCAGTATCCCTACAGCAAGGAGGAATTCCAGGCGCTGCAGGACGAGCTGCAGCAGCTGCAGCAGCAGTGCAGGGCAGAGGCGGTCGTGGAGCAGGCGCTGCGAGCAGAGCTGGAGGAACAGAAAGTTGTCACGGCTGAGCTGGAGAAGATTTTGCAGTGCTTTGATGGGCTTGAGAATATCTGCAGGGAGCACGGGGCCAGCAACTTCAAGGAAAGCTTTGCCCTCCTGATGCAGAGCTCTAAGAAACTGCAGGATGTGCTGAAAGATGTTGAGGAGAAGAGCAAAAAAATGAAGCAGCGTGATCAGTTAATGTAATGGAAATTCTGAAAAGGCAACAGATGTCATACAGAGAGCTTGCTTAAAATTACAGGGGCTTATCTTTCCCTTACTCCACTCATCCTGCCAGGATTTGGTCTAAAAACTGTTAGCTAAGCCTGTAAAATGTAACTCAGATTGTTAACTTCCTAAGTTCTTCCTAAATTTTGGCTTGCATAAGGAACGTTTGAAAACACTGCATGTTACCTTTGAACACGGTGTAGCACTTGCCCATTTTAAGGATTATAAAAACAAAGCCTCGCTAAGACTTGTAGGAATGTGTAGGTGGTTTCCAGCCTGAGGCCGGTGCAGGCTCAGTGAGGACATGGGGACTTTGCCAGGAGCTGCCTGCCCATGGCTGTGGTGCCTTTCACTATGTTTGGAAAGCCAGCAAGGAGGAAGTGCAGGGAGAAGGATGACACTGACGCTGTTGACAAGGTTCTGATGAGATATGTTGGCATCAAACCAAGTTTTAGCCCAGTTTCTGGAATCTCAGGGTTCCTCACCACTACACCTGTGATTGTGTTTCAGCACATATCTGCTGCTCCACAGAGCAGAAGCCACTGGAGGAAATGAGTAATTCCATCACTTTGTCCTGCTTCACCTTAAGTTGCTTTATATATATATATTTTTTGTTTGTTTTTTGTTGTTGTTGTACAGTGTCTGTTTTCTACTAAATAACAAAGTTCCTTCTATTAATGTTTAATCAGATTTTCTTGTGAAAATGTTATGAATACTGATAATCTCGTGTCTTCATTAAACTTATTCTCTCTGTACTTAATTCGAAATCTTTGAGAGTCTGTGCATCTTTCCATGGCAGTTTTTTAATCTCCTGGTTAATCCTATCATTAAATATCAATATTAATTTCTACTTTACTAGCATAGAGGTTTAAAAGTCATTAACCTTGTGAATCATTTAGAGGTGACTGCAATAAAAAAGTGTATTGAAAACATAAAACACAGTTTGGAATTGTTTCTTCATCGAATTGAGAAGAGTAAGATGTGAAAAGTGTCATTTGGCAGCAGAGGGCACCAGCAGCCTGGCCCAGGGCTCAGCTCCACAGGAGGTTGGTCTGTTTTTCCAACTCAGTGCAACTTTCCTGGACACCAAGAATTATCGTGTTTCCACAGGTGAATCAGTTGTTATATCCTCAGTAAATAGGAGATGCTTTTCCTGAGTGTTCTGTGCCCAGAGTGACCACACACAGATTGGCAGAAAGCTGGACCCTACCCAGCTGCAGTCACCATAATTAAATCTTTTACAATAATTATATCCTGATGCTCCAGAGAGCAGTGCAGGAGCAGTGCCCTTGGGCAGGGAGCTGTGGCAGCTCACATAATCATGGAATTCTTTGGGCTGGAAAAGTCCTCTGAGCATCAAGTCCAGCAGTTCCTCCAGCACTGCCATGGCTAGCACTCACCATTTCCTCAAGTGCCACATCCACAGTGGCTGGATCCAATATTCCCATCTCCAAATCATGCCCATGTGTTTGTGGGTCCTCTGGAGATTCAGACCCTCATGAGCAGCTTGACATACCCTGACTCCATCCCCAGTGGCCTCTCCATCTGTCCTGCTCTCCCAGGTTCCCATCGCTCTCAGAGGCAGATCCAGAGCGTCCATGGCAGGAGCGGGAACTGGGACTGGCTTGGAAAAGAGGGGGAGAACTTCCACGTGGATAATTTTAATGCTTATTTTCTCCCAATACTTGCATGGAACTGGAATACTCAGAGGCCCAGGCTGGGAGTGAGGTACTTCGTAATACCCGGTCTTAAAACTGTAACCAGCTGTTGGTAAAACATTTCCAAGATGTTGGAAATAGAGAAAGAGCCTTAATGTCAAGCACTTGGTGCAATGAGCACCCCAACAGCAGAGCTGAGGTCTGAAGGGAACAAAGCCACTGCTTTTCCTACCAGGATAATGCCCTCCTGCTCTGGGGCACGCAGGAGCCCTGAGGATCCATGGGGCTGAGGATGTCCTGGCACCTGGATATTCCATCAGATAGAGAATTGCTTCAAGTCCCTCTACAGTTCCTGGGACTATCAGACTTCCGGAAAAACTCCCTCTGGGAACAAAAGCATGTTCTGGCTGTGAGGAGGAGGATGTGCAGCTGGATTTGTAGCAGAGGGGTCAGGTAAAGTGGGAAAGGAGCTGGCTCTGTATCCCAGGGATGCTGATTTGCCCTGCAAACCCCCAGGGGGTTCAGTTCCCTGTGTAAAGAAAAAACAGAAAATTTAAGTGAAAAAATTTTTGGCAGCATTCACAGGCAGTCAGAGCACACGGTGCAGTCCTCCCTGACTTAGACACTGAATAATGGTGTAATTAGCAGCTGTTAATAAACCCACACCTGGAAAAATGCCAGGGGGGAGGAGGGGGTTACCATATGCCTTCTCATTAAAAGCATTAATTACAGGCAGGAAATGCTGGTGGCAGCTACAAGCTTTAATTGCTTCACCTCAAGCTGGTGGTGGGTCAGCTCCTGCCTTTGCCATCCCATGGTGGCTCAGGGTTCCCATCTCTGTCCACATCCCACAAAAGTCCCAAACGGACAGGGAAAAAGATACTTTTTCATTCTAATAATAAAAAAAAAAACCTGTTGTGGCAAAAAAAAAAGTTCTTTCACAGGGATTTTTGCTGGCACAAACTGAGCAAGAGCATCCCCCATCCTTAAAAAAACCCTGTGGAAACTCCAAATAAAAATAATAGAGATGGACAGAGAGAGAGCCAGGCACTGTGAGTTATTCCAGCTGGTGAGTGCAGCAGCTCTTCCCTAATGTGTTTGCACATCACACACCATAAAATGGGATGGGAGTGAATATTCCAAGTCCTCTCTGGGATTTCCAGAGAGCTGCCCCAGTGCTGCCTCCCCTGCACCTCAGCCCTGGCAATAAAATAAATGGGGCACGGAAAATGGGCATTCATCTCCCATTAGTGGCAAAACATTGATTTACTCAAGCAAAGAAACCCAGTCAGGGCTTGGCTGCTGATGGCTCCTGGCCATGTTTGCTGGACGTCCCTGGAAATTGCTTTCGAAAAAAACATGGTAAATGACTTCTTCCTACTCCAGGAGGAGAAAATGGAAAACCTGGAAATGTCTGCCAACACAGGAATCACTTTCACATAGGAGATGATTTTTTTTTCCCTAATTTAACCACAGGAGAGAGAGACTGTGATTAAAAAGGTTCTGCTGGAGGGAGGCCTCGGAGACAGCTGTGCTTAGTGTGGAGCAGCACAGACAACAATAGAAGGTGAAGTTTATGATTCTCCTTTGCTGGGGACTGGAAAAACTGTTCCTCACACAGCTCTGCATGGCTTTGGCTGCTTCCCTGGCTGTTCATCCTGCCCTGCATCCATCTCACCCCTGCTGCAGTTAGCTTTGAGTTGGAAGGGACCTCAAAGATTGTCTATTCCTTGCCATGGCCAGAGACACCTTTTACTAGACTAGTTGCAACAAAATCATTGTAGGAATTTAACTTCAGTTTGAAGAGGAATTAAAAAAACACAAATAAACCTAGCAAACAAACTAGAAAAATAACACTGAGCCAAGATGGAGCCTTTGGAGGTCAATCCACTGGATGGATCCTGCCAGGTGATGATACCCCAAAACTGAACACTTGGAGCCCAATGGTCCCGGAGCTATGACCCCTCTGCTTGGTGTCTTTTTAGCTGTTATTTTGTCCCCTGCCCACAACCCCTTCCTGGGCAGCCATGCCTCCCAGTCCTGTGCCACTGGGGATTCCATTACTGCTGATTTCCCTGTAGCAAGGAAATTCTCCTGCTGCTTTGTCTGCTTATCCCTCCTAGGCTCTTATTACTCCCACTTACACAATTCAGAATATTATTCCCTCCTGTCACCTTAATTTCTAATAATTAGTATTTGGTGTAACAGTACAGCAGACAGCCACTCTTAATGAATATTATAATAAGCACTTAATTATAATTTACTGCTCTAGAAATCCATTTTGATACATATCTCACTTACAAGAAAATTAGGGGGAGCAGCTTTCAAGCCACTTACCTGTCTGAATCCATTCCCAAACCAAGTCCCCAGCAAGATCCTCAATGAGCTCCAGGGGCATTTATTGACCTGGGACTTGTCACTGACCATGTTGGGCTGGATGTGCTTTGATGGCAGTGATGTTACCTCACCAGGACACCACATTCCCAATGAACCAGCAATTATCTGCTCTCAGTATTTTATTTATTCCCTGAAAAAATGCTGAGGTATGAATCCATCTGGAGTGGAAAACAGCCTTAATCCAAGAAGAGTGCTTGTGAAGTAAGGAACCCTTGATGTCCTCCTTTCCAACCTCAACCTCTGTCAATCCCTTGTATGGACCCATTTTCCTTCCTTCTGTGGTGGGGGGTTGCCAGGAATTTATCCATCACTTCTCAGGTAGTTTTGGCATTAGCAGCTGTTGGGGCCCGTTGTGTGTTTGAGCAGACCACACAGTCCCAGAATGCAGAGAGGCTGAAGGGAACGCTTTGATTATCCCTTTTCCCAAGAGGTTCCCTTCACTGAAGTTGCTAACAAGGACCAGACTTGACAGCCCGCAGTGGCTTTCGGGTTGTTTTATTTCTCAGCCCACAGTCCTGGGTGGGACATGGGAACTGGGTGCTGCATAGGCTGTGGCAAGGCATCAGAAATGCCCGCCCAACACCCAAGGGTGATAGAAGATCTGCTCCAGCACTGGCCGATCCATGGGGTGCTTGGACAAACACCACTGGATCAGATGTTGGCATTCTGCGGAGAGAAGGCAGAAAGCGGCGGTCACTTGCAGAAGGCTCCGGCCCAGCTGCTCCCGGCGCCTGCAGAAGCCGGGCCCTGCTGCGTGTGCTCGGAGCTGCCCTTGGCGGGAGAGCGGCACGGCAGGACAAGCAAGGGCCCCCTGCTTCAGCCAAGCGTGCCACACCGAGCCCGGCACGGGCCACCTGCTGCAGCCGGCCCTTGAGGGCACACGGACGGCCCGCGGAGCTGCGGGAGGGCCGGGCCGGGCCGCGCGGTGCCACCTGCCAAAGCCTGCCTTCTTCAGGCCGCGTACCAACCTGGAGAGATCTCCTGCGGGAAGGAGAGCTGCCCCAACACGATGTCTCGCTCGTTTTCGAATGGCAGGAACCCGCACACCATTTCGAAGAGCAGCACGCCCAGGGACCAGATGGTCGCCCCGTCGCCGTGGTAGCAGCGAAGGCCGATCCACTCGGGCGGGCAGTACGAGCGTGTTCCTAGGGGAGACGGGCGGCGCTGCTCAGGCGCAGGCTGCTGCCTTCCAGAGCCTGGCGCCAGCATCCTGCCAGAGGCAGGGGCTGCAGCCGTGGCCACAACTTCCCCCCAAGGCCTGCCTCCCTCCCCCCGACAACGGGCCAAAGCCAAGGAACCGTTCTGCAAGGCTGACAAGGCCAGCGGAGCAGCCCAAGGCCTTGCGGGCCTGCCAAGCCGAGGAGCCGGGGCCCGGCTTTTGCAGCCCCTTTCTGTCGGCAGCGCCGGCAGCCGGCTCCTGGGGCACAGCACCTGCCCCGTGCCGGCTGAATGCCGCACCCCCCGGCCCAGGAGGGAATGGGGCCGTGCAGTGCCCGGCACTGGGAGCAGGGCCCGCGCTCTGGGCTCACCGGCAAACTCTGTGTAGGCCCGCTCCTGGAGGAAGGTGCCGCAACCGAAATCGATGAGCTTCAGCTCGCCAGTCTCCGGGTTGACGAGGAGGTTCTCTGGCTTGATGTCCCGGTGCAGGACGCCGCAGGCGGTGCAGTGCCATACGGCCTCCAGCACCTGCCAGAAAAGCCAGCGAGCCGCCTCCTCGCTCAGGAACTCTTGCTCCACCAGGACGCGCAAGAGATCCCGAGACTTCTCCGGACGCTCCAGAACCAGAACGAAGCTGTCGGGCAGCTCGAACCAGTCCAGGAGCCGGATGATTCTGTGGCAGCCGAAGCCCACCTTCTTCATGAGCACCA